GTAAATTTTGGTCAATGACATGAGACAAAGTATATGTGAACTGCTGTATGAAAAGTGAATTTACTCTGTAAATCTTCACACAAATCCTAATAAAATAAAAAAAAAAAAGACTTCTGAGGCATGTGATCCTTAGAACAATCAACTATACGGGACCAAACAGGCAACATTTGTCCAAAAGCAAAGATGAGAAGTCAAGGAGGGGCAGGAAAACTGGAGGGAAGGCAGGGTGGAAATGGGGAGACTGATATATTGTAGGGATAGCAACCAATGTCATGGAACAATTATTGAATAAGAAACTAATTTGCTATGTAAAGTTTTACCTAAAACACAATAAAATGTTAAAAAATAAAAGCCTGGCCTGGGTGCAGAAATCCTGGAAGAAGGTCAAAATGTGTTCTGGAAGACAGTAGTTACAATGATTAGCCTTTGCACAGCATTTCAGCATTTCACAAAGTGCCTGTGTCCACTCAACCCTCCAACCCTACATCAGCACTCTCACTTGCAAAGGCAGATGTGAGGGCTCAGAGGGGTTTGCTGACATGCTCAAAGTCACACACAAAGTGCACCTTCTGGCTTCAAATCCTTCCTTCCCGCTCCCCAGTGTGCATAAGGGAGGGCTGGGTAATGAGGTGGCTTGTAGGATCAGGAGGCTGTGGGGAATAAGAAGTCATCCAAGCTTCCCTTAGCTCCTAGGTGCATGGGAGAGTTAAAAGTGCCACCTTGGGAACCCAGAAAATTGAGCTAGCTGAAGCCAGTTCCAACCCAGAACATAAAAACAATGGGAAAACTCAGACTTCAGGCTCCTTGAAGAATGTCTTCCATTCCTAGAGGGAGTAGTCTACCGCAGAGAACAAAGAAAAGCTGAACCACAGCGCCCCCTGGCAGGCAAGAGAGCTGGGTACCCTGTGAGGAGAGTAGATGAGGGGTTTCAGAGACATATTTTCCAAGGAAAAGGGGGAGGGTAGTTTGCTCACTATTGACGGTACCACAGGGCACAGTGGAAGGGCTAAGAAGAAGAGTGGGGGGAGGGATGGAGTTGGGGGAGACAGGTTGCTGAAGGCAATGGATGTGGGATGAGGTCCACCCTAGTTCTGCACCCCAAACCTGCCAAGCAGGGGTCTTTCTGCTCAGCCAGGCTCTGGGCAAGAGAGAGAAGTTCTGGGAACTCAGAGCCTCAGCCCCAGCTGGGGAGAGGGATGATGGGAGATACTGTGTCAGGGTCTTAAGAGGGAATGAATCGGGCCTGGTCTCCCCACAGTGAAGAGTTCATCAAGGGTCTGGGATCTGCCCTCTCTAGGCATCACCTGGCCAGGCCATGGCTCAGGTATCTGACACCTGGGGCCCGGAGTCACATGCCAAGAAACCCAACACTCTTAGGCCCCAACCCCCAAGTTCCAGCAGCTACGACCAAGCAGGACTTCTGGAGGAGATAGTGGGTCTCCAGAGCCGAGCGTCAGGGAGACTACTTCCAGGGAGAGGGCAACACAGGAGAAGGCTCTCCAGCCAACAGGGGTGAGAGGCTGACAGGAAGAGGGAGAGGACAAGGGAGAGGACAAGGGAGAGGACAGGGAGGACAGCACTGGGGCAGGCAGAGGGTGTGGGTGCTCCAGGAAAAGGGGATGGCAGGCATAGAATGTAGGGCTTAAGGTACATTTTGTCTAGTCTACTTGCATAGCTGGATGCTCTGAAGAACTACTGCTGGCCTCCTTGTCTCCTTTACACTAGTGCCAACCTGGCCCACTCAGGTAGGCTGGGGGAAGATTTTACTCCAGTGAGAGACATCAATACGTGGGGGAGGCAGAAACTTAAAAACTCCCAGACCCAAAATGGCCAACAGGGCCTTGGTCAACAGACCATAAGACTTCACAGATTAACCCTCTGGAACCAAAGAGACCCCATAGAATGATCTCAAGAAGGGAGACTCTTAGTAGGGAATGGAATTCTCTTTACTCACTCATCTTTTACGGGACCTTTTCTTTCCCAGATCCTATTCCACCCAAGGACTATGCCAAGCTGTGGCCATGCTCCCACCAGCCAGTCGCCTCCTGTCCCTCCTGCTGGTAACAGGCATGAGAGGTGCTATGCCCAGCCCCTGGACACCTCTCCAGGGCTGCTACGTGGCAGAGGAAGCTGGTGAGCGGACATTCCGCTGCAGCCAGGCAGGCCTGAGTATTGTGCCCACTGGTATCCCCAACGACACCCGCAAGCTCTACCTGGATGCCAACCAGCTGGCATCAGTGCCAGCTGGTGCCTTCCAGCAGCTGCCTGTCCTAGAGGAGCTGGATCTGTCCCATAATGCTCTTGCCCACCTCTCCAGGGCTGCTTTCCAGGGTCTGGAAGGCACGCTGCGTCACCTTGACCTCTCTACCAACCAGCTGGCCTCAGTGCCTGTGGAGGCCTTCATGGGACTGCAGATCCAAGTGAACCTGTCTGCCAATCCATGGCTCTGTGATTGTTCACTCCAGGAGGTGCTCAAGAGGGTGCAGCTGGTGCCAGGCACTGGGACAGGCATTGTGTGTGGCCCAGGAGCCCGACCAGATCTCGTGGGGCAGGAGTTTCTGCCACTGGCAGGGGAGGAAGAGCTGTGTGGGACAGGGCGGGGTGGGGTCCACCGGCACATTGACATGGCCCTGCTGGTCACAATGGGGGGCTGGCTGGCACTGGTGGTGGGTTATCTGGTCCACTATGTGTGGCAGAACCGAGATGAGAACCGACGACCCCTCAAGCGGGCTCCAGTGCTGCCCGTGCACTCCGAGGGCTCCTCCACTCTCAGCACAGTTGTCTGATGATGGGGGGCTTGCCTCCCTGGTTTACCCTCACCTCACCTCCTAAGTTGCATCCCACCTCCAGCCTTCCTTCTTTGTCTCCCCTAAACAACTGATCTCTCACTCAACCAACTCTATATGTACCTGGATCATACCAGACTCAGAGAACCCAAAGCTCCCAAGGTCACAGTCCTGGAGGGATGACAGAACAGAGAATAACAGTAGTGGAATGTGTGCCAACCAGGAGGAAGGAGCAGGTAGCTGTGGGAGCACCTAAGAGGGATCCTCTACCTGGCTGAGGGTGATCTCAAAGTCTTCAGGCTATAGACGTTTGAACTGACTCTTAAAGAATGCAGAGGACTTGGTGCAGAAAAGGGGGAGGGACTCTAGATAGATGACCGTGTGCAAAGGCAACAATCTGGAATATTTGTGCAGTGTAGCCCCTATGTCAGGGCTGGGATAGAAGAGCCAATCGTGGTGAGAGGATGGTCAGGACATGCTGGAGGTTCAGCCAGAAAGCGGAGGTATGGCCTGTGAGTGGCTCCTCTCTTTTCTGTCTTGCTGCCTCTGCTGAGAACTGCCCCACTCCCTTCTTGGCACTCAGGCTCGTTTCCTGGAATCCTGTATTGAGGACTCCCTGGCTCAGGATACCCTGCATCCTTTTCTGGAGATTCCCCATCTCTCTGTCTTCTTTATACATTGAAGGGCTTCCCGAACTTTAGGAAACTTTCCATCCTTGGGGAGAAAGTGGTCGACTCTATGACTGATCTGGGGGATAGGTGACTGGGGTAGGAGGTGGCTAGGAGGTGTCCTGCCCCCAGAACATCATGGAACAACCCAATAAACTCACTTCTGTGAACTCCTCTGATCTCTTTCTTGTTCTTCATTTTATTAAACTTCTGTAGGCTGGCAGCAAGAAAGGGTGGGCAGGTGTTGAGTTCTCCACCACCACCTCTTCCATCACCCCTGGGGTTAGGGTGCTCCTGGTGGACTGGATACCAGCTTCCTCTCTCCCCTCCTGCCTCCCAGCTCCTGGCACTAGAGTCCATCTGCTAGGGAAGCTGAGGCCTATGAATTAACGAGGATGGACCAGGAATGGTGGGAGATGGGAGTGGGTCTGGTGAGAGGACAAACAGGGAGGAGACAGGGAGAGAGGGCAGTGTTAGGCATCAGTCTTCAGGCCCTTGTTCTCCAGCCTGCTGCCCCAGGAAGCCTCTCTACCACCTGAGTGGGCAGGAGAGGGGGTATAGGAGGCACAGGGAAAAGGGAGCTGCTCTGCTCTCAGCAATCCGCCTTTTCTCTCTGTGGGAGTCTGAACAGGGTGTAGGAAGAAACTAGAAGTGCTCAAAGTTAATAAAAGAATTGCTGGGTGTATGTGTGGGATACTAAGTTGGCTGAAGGAGGAGGCTATATGAGATATCCCTATTCCCAAGCAGACTTCTCAAGGGATCCAAAGAGGTAAATACCTCCTAACCTCTGCCTCTATGCAGGATGATCCACCCACAGGGGCTTCATGGGAATAGAGTTGCTTTGGGGAAGCTCATGGGATCCCCAATAGAAACTGAAGACAAGAGCCACTGAGTCAGGGTTCCACCCAGCCTAGGGCAGAAACCTGTGTGCAGCCACCCAAGGAGTGGCAAAGAGGAATCCATTGCCTCCCCTGGTCCTTCTGCCCCATCCTGCCTTCCTGTCTTTTTCCCAGGCCCCTCACACTTCCATTGGTTCCCTCTGTGATCCCTGAGGCTCCCCTCCTACCAGTGCTTCACGTTTGAGCTCCCTGATATGGTCCAGGAAGTGACTTACTTCAGAAAAACCTGGGACACAATCATCTTTTCTCAAGAGACATGGGCCCCACTTCCAGGTATGCTCAAGGATAAGGGAAAGAATAAGGGTATGGGAAGTTTCAGGTTGCAGCTTTGAATACCCCCAGCCACACCCTGGCCTAGACCTTGGAATCCTAGCCCCAACCCCATCAAAGCCACCATCAGTCCCTCCTTTCTCAGGGTCTATCTGCCCTGTACTGGAATCAGGTTGGGACTTTGGGTTCTGGGAAGTAGGCTGTGCAGACCTGTGGGGTCTACAGGGTGGTCCCTTCTGTCTCTATCACTGGCGCCTATTCCTGGATCCTCATTCAGCTCTCTGTCATCCAAGCAGCAGAGGCCTCCTCTGTCAGTCTGCAGAGAGCCACCTTCTCTACCGTGACACCCAGCCCCAGTTCTCCAAGGTGAGCTCAGGATGGGAAAGGATCCAAGCAGAGGTCTGCTTTGACTGGAGTTCCGATGGGGAGGGGTCCTGGGGCCAGGATCCTCAGCACTGGATAGTAAGCATTCCACCAGTATCCCCATGGCCTTCCTCACCCAAGTTCCTCTCCTCATCTAAAACCAGGAGGAAATGCAGAGGGAGGAGACGGAGGCAAAGGTGAAAGCTTAGGGGAGATGGTGGAGAAGATGCTTTACTGACTACCCTTTCTGGGAAGAGATCCCTTCACCTCAGCTAGGTGGAACCTCGGGGTCACAACTTGGTGGGAAGAGGGTGTCAGAAGCTGCCACTGCAGCTCAGCTATCATGGAAGTCTGGAGAGAGCTGGAGTCTCCCGGACTCCTACCTGGAACAGTCACTGAACCTAAGCAACCTGCCAGCCCCCTGACCTCTGGGTTGTGGTTGTCCACTGAGCAGGCAGGAACAGGGTAGCATAATTGGCTTCAACCCCATCCTCAGCTCTGCCAGGAACCAGAGACAACAAATCACGGAACCCATGTTCCAAGATGCCACCCAGGCAGTGGTGAGACAGCTGGGTCCTGCTGGGGACCTCATCCCACTGAACAGCCTCACTGATGCTGCCTGATTCGAGCCCTTCTGCCTGATACAGAGGAAGAGAAAGGGAATACTCTTTTGGGGGACACAGTACATCAAGACCAACTTCTCCCTCCGGGATGTGATGGAGCCAAGAACAAAACTGCCAGGTACCAAGAGAGCCAGGCCAGCTGTCTGCTCTGGCTCTGAGGCAAGAGGCGGGCACACAACTCAGAAACTTGGGAGGCCTTGAGACAAGTCCCAGCTTGTCATCCACATGCAACATCCCACAGCCAGCAGACTGGGGGTGGGGTGGGAGGAGAGGTCCGTTAGTCATTCCACCACAGCTTCTTTTTTTTTTGCCCAGTGGAGCAGAGGCCAGGGTAGCAGAGAAAGCAGACACAACCCTTGGGAAGCTTCCAGTCTGAGGGGAGACATGAACGGAGCTGTCAGAGAACTCCCAGTATGAGGGGAGAGACATGAACTTAATCCTCAGGGAACTCCTAGAATAATGAAAGAAATAAGACCCTTTCTCTTTGGGGAGCTCCCAGTCTGATGAGACCAAGACTGCTCCCAAACAGAGACTTAAGTACCTACAATCCTTATTATCTACTAAAGGAGACAAAGAGAAAGCCAACTGAGGCCACCAGGGCTGAAAGAGGCAGTTAAGGAGCAATGGATGGGGCACAGGTCCCATTCTTTCTTGTCTTGGGGTCCCTGCAAATTACTCAAGCACAATACTGAACTCTCCTAGAGAGTGAAGGGATGTCAGCATCACAACCAGATGTAGTTTAGTCAGCTTATTCCGAGGGCAGGAATGGTGTCTCCCTCATTAGACTAAAGAGAATTCAAACTAGAAACAGCTTCCCCTCATTTCTCTGGCACTCAGTCATCAGCAACCTCACTTGCCATGAGGAAGACTGCCCCAAACCAAGAAGATAGAAAACAAACAAAACGAGGCCACCACGCTGCCAAAACGGATGCCACCACAAGTCTACCCATTCATTAGACACATATACTGAGTTCCTACTACGTGCCTGGCACTGCAGATACAGGGATGAGTCATGGTGCCACCCTTAAGGGCTTGGTGACAGTGATGAAGTGCCTAGGGTGACAAAAGTGTGCACAGGAGCCATGCAAGCCCAGGAGGGACATCTAAATCAAATGCTAAGTTTCGTGTACTCACTCAGAAACCATATATTCTTATTTTACACATAGTTCTAACAGTTCAAGGAGCTCTGGTGGTGCTGTGCTTAAGGCATTGGGCTCCTAACCGAAAATTGATGATTTGGACCCACCAGCCACTCCATGAGAGAAAGAAGAGGCAGTCTGCTTCTGTAAAGGTTTATAGCCTTGGAAACCCTATGGGGGTCATTATGAATCGGAATCAACTCAATGGCCGTGGGTTTGGTTTTGGGTTTGGTTTTCTAATTGTTTTGGAACTATGGCTTCTACTTGTACAACAGGTCAGAAACCGTATATTTGAAGTGGAAAAAAAAACTAGCAAAAGGTGTATTACTGATAGTCACAATAACAGCAGTGAGAAATAATGGGCTGACAGCTGAGAGGGACATTATTAAAAGTATTTACAAGAACCCAAAAACATCTCAGAAGGGCCATTTAATATGTCCTCAATGACCCTGTGTAGACCAAAGGTGTTTCCTATAGGCTTTGGCAAAATAGGGAATATTAATCACATTGACTTCGAGTTTCCTGCAAAAAAAGGTCCAGTTGTACAGTGTCCACTCTCTGAGGCAGGGAACAGGTGATACATTTAACCAAGAGTTTCTATCCTCAAGCTGAGGTAAATAATGCAGAATGACTAATGGAAGATGCTCACAGTACCTTGTCTACCCACTTGTTCTTCTTCCCACTGATCTAAGATCTGCCCCTGGAGTCACACAGAACAAGGCCAATCTCTCTTGGGCATGAAAGCCTTTGGCTATGGAGGAGGGCTCTGGCACCTCCATTACCTGGGATCAGCACATCATGGTTCTTCTCCCCCCTTGTTCCTCTGCCCCTTTTACATCCCCCACCACCACCACACATGCATCTGCCTTCAGGTCCCTGGGATTCAGTTATCTTCTCCCAGTCACGATGCTCATTTGTGCTTATGTGACAATTACTATCTTCCTCTTTTCAAAAAAAAAAAAAGTCCTCACATTAATACTAATGTCTGAGGGTAGTTCTCAGTTCACAATCACTTTTGGATCAAGGGCAATCTATCAT